TATGATTGTTGGGCTTTTCTCTGTATCTATGAAGCGCCTTGAGGCGACATTTGTTGTGATTTGGCGCTATATAAATAAAATTGAATTGAATTGAATTATGTGCAAAGATGCAGCACATGAGTGACTTTCTGGCATTTAAAAAAAAAGTTTCTCATATATGTCTTTGTGTTTTTTTCGGAAAACATTTCAGAAAACTAGTGGTTAGTAGGTACTTAACCTTAAGGTGACTTAACCTGAAAAACAAGAAGGAAAACATACTGTGTGCACTGCTTGATAACACTATTCGGGAAGCTTATAATACAGTTGGTGATATGTAATAAAAAGATAATGACACAAATTTGAATGTGTCATCAGACCGAAAGTCATGGGTCATATAAAGAGCCTTGAGGCGACTGTTGTTGGGATTTGGCGCTGTGTAAATACAATTGAATTAAATCGTAGTAATGCATTCATTAATTATTGCAGGATTATGCGGCCAGACGATGCCAACGTTGCGGGCAACGTCCACGGTGGCAACATCCTCAAGATGATAGAGGAAGCCGGATGCATTGTCGGCACGCGGCACTGCAACACACAGAACGGGGTAAGAGACAACAGCCACTGTCATTCTGGACTGTGCTATTGTACTGTTGGATAAATAAAGTCAAGGAAGTTCTCCATAAGTTCCTCTAATGTTCATTTTTTTGTAGCAGAGAGGTGTCATTTATATAATGCACTGCAGTACTAAATGTTTCTTTTTTTAGCACCTGAATAAAGAGACTAAAATATGTTGTGAATAACAGTGTTGAAAACTTCTGTACTATAAGTGTAAATGGACAGAAATGAATGCAAGAAACTAAGAAATGATAACCATTACTTTTACAACTCAAATTTTAAAAAAAGTTTAAAAAAATGTGAAAAATTAATTAAAAACACAATAAAGGAAATACAAAATCTCAAAGGGGAGTTATTTCTGTCTAACTTGCAGTTATACTAGCATTAAAAACATATTTATCAAATTAGTGAAGTTTCCATCCATCCATCCATCCATCCATCCATCCAATCCAATCCAATTCTTCCACTTATTCATTGTTCTGGGCTAGGATATAGCCTGCCAATCACAGGGCTGACACAAAGAGACAGACAATCATTCACATTCACACCTAAAACCAGTTTAAAATCTCTAATTAATCGAAACCCTGTGTATGTCTTTGTGGGAGGAAGCCAGAGCACCCAGAGTGAACCCATGCAGACACAGTGAAGAACACACAATCCCAGCCTGGATTTGAATCTAGGACCTTCTTGCTGCGAGGCGACAGTGCCTCACAGAGTGTGACATCTGTAGCTGTACACATCATTAACCTCATTTGGACTATACAACCTTGCTCAGTGGTATTATTTTTATCACTCAGTGTACAGTCATGTAACTAGGGGAATCAACCTCAGTGACTCAGGATTTAAAACCAGATTTTCCTTCTGATCTTCCAGCAGTGCAATTTCCAGATTCCTGCCATTGCAGTCAGATGTTGTGATTATGTGACTATGTGTGTATAAGTTTTGAGTCTGCTGTTTGTCTTGTATAGGACCACTGCTTGGCAGCTCTGGTTCGGGTGGAGAAGACAGAGTTCCTGTCCCCCGTGTTCATTGGCGAGGTCACCCACGTCACTGCTGAGATCACGCACACCTCCAAGCACTCGCTGGAGGTCCAGGTCAAAGTCATGGCTGAGAATATCCTCACAGGTGAATCGCTGTGATATTCAAAAATGAATGCCTAACCCTAACCCTTAGCCTAAACCTAACCATAACCTAAATGTAACCCTGTCACTAAAACCACATTTTGAGTCTCAAAAATGCCTTCAAACTTGTGGAGGTGGGCATTTTGTCCCCATAAAGACTGTTGGTCCCCACAAGTATAGTAACATTACAATTTTTGGTCCCTACAAAGATATGTAAACATGGTACACACACACACACATACACATTAAACCTGTTTGGGAACCGTTTGATAGCATTTTTCAGTTAATGATGAAAGGGAATTTAATTCACACAAACGATTTCAATCCTGCTTTGTTTACAGAAAAACTGTTTGTTATAAGATAAATTTAACATTAAGCAAGCTACTTTTGACGGCTCCCTTGCCACAAGGGGTAACCACAGCGGAAAGATCTGCAATGTTTTTAATTGACTGATTTTTATGTCCTAAACAAACCCAAAGGGGATTTATGTGTCCAGTGGAATCTAACCAGCAGTGGTTAACTGCACATCAGCATGCACATTGATGTAGGATTTCTGCTTCCTGGATGATTTTGTTTGAGTCGCACTACTTTATCTGTGCATCATT